TTTTCATCGAAAATAAATTAAGTGAAATTCTGTGTGATTTCATGAGAGTTGAAAATGAAAAAATTATATGACACCCAACCCTACCACTCAATACACAATGTAACCACACCTCAAAAACATCCTTTCACCAGTGTATTCTATTTGAATTCAGGAGAAATTTAAATAAACAAATTATATGACAACGAACTTAATTATAATTTCAACCTCTAGTTCAGCACTGATTAAATAAACTACCTCGTCTTTATGCCAACTTGAAGTTATTCAATGCCTACACCAGTGACTTCAAAATCTATGTTTCAATTCCAGGAATTTCACTTGCTATTAATTGTATGGGAGTGCCAGTCTTTCATAAATTTCTATTGTCATGTCAATTTCTTGTGATTACTCGGAAAATGAAGCTGTAACCACAGACCACAGTGCTGCAACTAAATCCTGGTATAAGCACCGGTTAGGCAGTCTTGAACTATGCATGTGAAGCCAGCTGAGAGGTATATCCAATCCTATAGATTTCTCATTGTTTGGTAACTATTTGCTGCAAATGCAACAAAAATCAATATAAAAATATTACCCACACAGCATTCTACAGGTTACTTGTAATATACTATATTTTGCAGAGGACTCACCAGTTAATTTAAACTATGCAATTGATCTTGCTGTAAGTTCAAGTCTCTAGGGTAATGTATCTGAAAATAGCTGATAACATGATCCCTGCAATGTAATTATATCGAGCCCTAACTGTATGGCTGGATGAACTTTATGTGATTTCCCAATTCATTAGAATTGCTTGCTGTGGATGACCACTTAATTAGCTTCCAGTATTTGTCTTTCCTTTTTGTAAATGAATGCTTCACCATCATATATAAATGTTATAATAATATTATTATTATTATTAGCTACTTTTTAACTCCGCTGTCAACTTTGTCGAGCGGAGCTTATCATATGAGTGATTGTCCATCGTCGACCGTGTCATTGTTTTACTTTTTCAACTTCTTCTTGAAAACTACAAGCCTGAATGCTTTGATACTTGATGTATATGTACCTTGGGTAGACCTCTCTTAGATTTGTTCATTTCATGATGGTATCTTCAATTCTCTAATTTTGGTGAATATTTTTGTCATTTTGGTAAAAAGTGATATTTTCAACTTCTTGTCAAAAACCGCAAGTCCAATTGCTTTGATATTACATATATAGGTACCGGTAATACATGTGGACCTCTCTCAGATTTGTTCATTTTGTAATGATATCTTTAATTCTCTAATTTTGGTGATTATTTTTGTCATTTTTGGTAAAAAGTGATATTTTCAACTTGTTGTTAAAAACCGCAAGTCCAATTGCTTTGATATTACACATATAGGTACTACATGTGGACCTCTCTCAGATTTGTTCATTTTGTAATGATATCTTTAATTCTCTAATTTTGGTGAATATTTTTGTCATTTTTGGTAAAAAGTGATATTTTCGACTTCTTGTTAAAAACCTCAAGTCCTATTGCTTTGATATTACATGTATAGGTACTACATGTGGAACTCTCTCAGATTTGTTCATTTCATGATGATATCTTCAATTCTCTAATTTTGATAAATATTTTTGTAATTTTTGGTAAAAAGTGATATTTTCTGTCTGATTGTTTTGATACTATACATATTGTTCATTTTCTAATGATATCTTCTGTTCTTTAATTGCCATGTGCACTGCTAACAGCGGAGCTATCTCAGCCGACAGGCTGCTTGTTTATTATACAAGTCGTATTTGTTCTATTTTAACTGTCTTAACTACCTGTTGAAAATTTAGCATGAATGATTCAATCTGAGATTGTTGTATTTAAAATTCAACTATTGGATGTGCTTCTGATATCTAGCAAATGCTGTGGCATTTGGTTCTGTGTAACGTGATCACATTTATATGTAATTTGCTATAGTAATAAATGCTACCCCTACAAAAACCTTAATAAAATATTAACTGCTGTCTTTCATTATATAATTATGCACAATCTGGTTCAAAATTTATTCTTTATTAGTAAGACAGTTCAAATTTGGAACTATTGAAGAAATCTTCACATTATATTCGCTCACAATAAATCTGATGTATAAGACTAAATCAGTTTGACCAATTCATTGTCTAAAGATACCAGTGATGCACTGTCTGCAACATTGCATGATGCTCCCTGACCTGTGAAATTCATGAGACATTGACTGTTAGATATACAGCAACTCTTGTCAATTAAATGTAACATAGATTTTTTTCTTTTTTTTGTACAATAAAATATGTTAATAAATAAGAGGATGTTCTCAGGGGAAATTTTCAACCATACTTTGAGCCTATCCCTTGAGGCACTAGTATTCTCATTTGTGACTTGTATTTATAATATACAGCATACAAATTCATTATATCCTGCAGCATAATTCATTAATTTAAATTTGACTTTCAGCCAGTATTTTATAAATAGCTGTTCAGGTTTGATAGTTGAAGGTGAATATATAATATATGCTCAGTTGAGACAGTAATTTAGATCTATTGGCATTTATAATATACGCTCAGTTTGGCCTTTATATATACTTTTTCTGGTTGTCGTAATTTTTGCATAATTAGTCCCTGTTCAGATGCAGTCTGAAAACAAGGATTTGTGGATTAACCTCCATGCGTGTGCGTGTGTGTGTCTGTATCTCAGATGTGCTTGGACCTATCAGTATTAAATTCAAACTTCACACATACATCATACATCATATCGGACATAATCACATGTATTTGTTTTATGATCCCATTCAAGATAGTCAAATGGCAGCAACTTTAAGGCCAAAAATGCATCAGGATTACACAATTTCATAATTTCAAAACCAGATCTCAGTCGTATGTGGATGGATTTTGTTTAAACTTGGTACATACATTAAACACAATATTACCTTGATGCACGTCATTGTATTTTTCGAATCATTTTGTTTTTCAAAGAATGCATATATTCAACATGACTGACTGAAGTTAAAACTTCAAACATGCATCAGACAAACGCATAAGCATTTTTGTCATCATTAAATCCAAAATGGCTGACTGGCAGTCATCTTGTTTAAATGAATGCAGTTCAAAGGAGCCATGTCACATACATGCCTGGACAAATCAAGTTTCAAACTTCACACATACATTTTGTATATCACAAATCAGAGCATATATATATCTTGCATCTATAATACAAACAAGAACTATGTGATTGACTATGTGATCGGTTTGGATGCAGTTCAGAACCTCCGTCCGTGCCAGGTCCAATCACATTCAAACTTTACAAATATATCACACATCTTAGGTGACATATAAACCTGCATTCATTTCATATTCCAATTCAAGATGCCATTCCTGAACCAGATCTCAGTAGTATATCAACGGATTTTGTTCAAACTTTGTAAATGCATTGAACATTATGAGACCTTGCTGTACATCAGTAATTTTTCAGCTCAGATTCAAAATGACCGAGCCATATCTCTGATATGCCCTGACTGACCATGTTTAAACTTTATATATACACTGTACATCGTGTTGCACATATGCCCATGTATTTTTCTGATGATTCAATTCAAAAGTATTTTTCTTCAACTTGCTAACTAACAGGACTGTGAAATGCAATGCTATGTAATCTTGTTTTGGCATTGGCAACATAATAAAAAATCGCATGAAAATATTGATGTATTGTTCATTTGGTTATCAGCAGATTATATTCAAGATGTATTTCAGATATGCAATACTCACATGGTTGCTTTGTGCCATATACTGTACATACGCTGCCAAAAAGGTGAAACAGATATTGACGTATGTAGCAATAAAGAGGCACTGTGACAGATGATTTGCATATTAACTTTGAATCAGTCATACATTTCTAACAGTTGTATGTGTTTACAGCTTTGGTTTAAATGAATGCATAATTGTATTTCTCCCACTACTTTTTTTTTTGTAGGATAAAAACTTAGAATGGTTCCCACGTATGCGTGCTATGTCACTGGCCGCAGATGAAGGAGAAGGTGAACAGAATGAATTGAGAAATTTACAAACACAGTTAGAAAGTACAAACAAATTGGTGATGACGTTATCAGTTCAACTTTCGGAGCTCAAAGACCAGGTAATATAGAGAGTTTTCAAAGCTAGGTATTTGGATGCCATTTGATGGTGTTGTAATATTTTTGTGATTAGGGAATCTATTTATGGTTGTGTGTCTGTTGTAGACTAAAGGAAACCCAAAGCTAAGCCTTCTCTGCTTTATCATTCCATGCAATATTCCTACTCCTACTTCTTATTTCAATAAAGAATATTATTATACATCTGTTACCATAATGCCATTAGTTATAGCGGGCTGTAATTTTGTGGTATTTTACAGGGTATTTTCATCCTACCATATTAGGAAATGCGAATTCCAAATATGGAATGATTACGTGCATAAGCGTCCTCTAATAATAAAAACAAACATGGCTGCCACCAGGGTTTGATCGGACTCCACACAAAAAAGTTCGCTGATTTTGTTCTAAACATTTTGGATTTTAGCATTTCTATGGTGTATTCTTGGATAGAAAAGATGTATAATAATAAGGTTATTACAAAGATACCTCAAAGTATGCACTCAGACAGAACACTGCGCGTCGGTCGATACTCCCGCTATAATGTCTTCGTCCAGACATATTATTATTACATTGCAATCCATAGCGCCATATTTGAGTATGTTTCTGCCATGTGTATGATGTGATTTTAGTTCATTCAGGATGAATACATATGTTTGAATGCTGATTCATCATAAGCTCATCACTCCCATGCCAAGTCAAGCATCTAGAAATGGCTTTAATCTCTGATTGTTAATTTAAAAGTTAATGTACCATCATGTGAAGATCTGGGCATTCTTTAACAGATGACCATTCCCACTTTATAAAAAACAGTTTAATGAAATTTTTTGGCTGTGAAATGTAATTCATAGATAAACATTAATCCTGTTTAGAAATTTGGGTCTACTATAAAATATTTTCTCTATTCGTGCATGTGCTTATGTGAATGAGTGAGGTGTTGCTACTGTCAAAATAAGTCATATTTTAATGATCAAGTTAGTTACAAATAAAATTGTTGGTTTATTTGCACTTTAATTGGAGATGTGCCTCTAAGAGCAAATATTGTATTTAGCTCCGCTGTCGACTTTGTCGAGCGGAGCTTATCATATGAGTGATTGTCCGTCGTCGTCGTCGTCCGTCGTCCGTGTCAATGTTTTACTTTTTCGACTTCTTCTTGAAAACTACAAGCCTGAATGCTTTGATACTTGGTGTATATGTACCTTGGGTAGACCTCTCTCAGATTTGTTCATTTCATGATGATATCTTCAATTTTCTAATTTTGGTGAATATTTTTGTCATTTTTAGTAAAAAGTGATATTTTCGACTTCTTGTTGAAAACCGCAAGTGCAATTGCTTTGATATTACATATATAGGTACTACATGTGGACCTCTCTCAGATTTGTTCATTTTGTAATGATATCTTTAATTCTCTAATTTTGGTGAATATTTTTGTCATTTTTGGTAAAAAGTGATATTTTCGACTTCTTGTTGAAAACCGCAAGTCCAATTGCTTTGATATTACATATATAGGTACTACATGTCGACCTCTCTCAGATTTGTTCATTTTGTAATGATATCTTCAATTCTCTAATTTTGGTGAATATTTTTGTATTTTT